TTTTTTTTTTTTTTTTGCTCTTCTGCTTTTACCTCAATATAATTAAAACTTTTTCCTCATCTTACTGGTTGTCTTTTGTTATCTTTCATTTATATTAATTAAATTGCATGAACATTTCCAGCTATTTTTAAGCTCTTTATTGAAATGAAAAGCTTATTAATATCTGTATTACTTACAAAAGCTGTTTGATAAACCAAAAAGTTGTAAGGATTTTGGGGACGACCACAAACAAAAATACGCACTCTTAAGCACAGCACCTATATATATATATATATATATATATATATATATATATATACGTATATATATATATATATATATATATATATATATATATACATCAGACAGCAATTGTTGTTGCTGTGTTACAATAGCATGCAGCTGAACTGGCGCTTTCGTCGCTCTGGGATCTTTGTTGTCTGTTTGCTTAAACATTTATCTACCTATCTGTATATCTGTCTGATCCATTGCCATCAATTCACCGAACTCTGTGAACGCGAATAGCACTGCCGACTGACTGACTGACTGACTAACTGATGATTCTGATAGCTGTTGCCCTTGAGGCTTTAACACAGTGCCTTTGTAGATATTATTCATTTATCGCCTCTTCAGCTCATCGTTTTTACTCAACCTCATCAACTTGTCTTCTTGCTCTCGTCTCCGTTATCACTGCCTTATGTAATTGATGCAACAAATGCAGTAGCGTCAGTAGTAGCAGCAGCGGCAGCAACAGCAGTAACAACAACAACAGCAACAAGAGAGAAAATAACAACAGTTACAGCTTAACGTTTCTAGCTTCAATGCTGCTCAGTCGCAGTTTTAATCTCTAATAATTGTAACCTTTGTTGTGATTGCATATAACGACTAAACTATGGAATGTTTCTAATTTACTGTTGGAAATTTCAAAGGAAACTTTGTAATATTTTTTTGTGAGTATGCGTACTTTTATATACTGTGTACTAGTTTTTTTAAAAATTTTTCTGTAGTAAATGCAAGGCTATTACGTTTTCAATCTCCCATTGGTTGATCGTTGTTCTTCTTCCTACCTCTTTTTTTTTTCTACAGCATTTTACATTAATCTTCAGTATTAAATTGCAGCGTTCTTGTCTTGGTACTTGTGGTAACAGAGTTCTCCTTCAAACAACAATAATTTTTTCCAGGATGAGCGACGAGGAACTACACAATATAGAAGTTCCTGAATGTGGAACCGTCCTCCGCTATGGCGGTCCACAGGGCGAAGAAGAAGACTCTGTACGTGCATATTCTTTCAAATTATTTTTTTTTGGCTGACTGTAGATACGCTAAAAGCAACTAATGTTTTTCACAAACTTATCTCTGTGCCAATTTGTTCATAAACATCTTTTCCTTTACTTTTTCGATAGCTAAAACTATCATCTTTGACGTTATATAACAGTGAAACTATAACAGGGTTTTTTGCTGTTACCTCTTCAGCAATGCAGTTCTCAAGTTTCTAATTGATCTGGTTCAGGAGGGTTTGAGAAACTGACGCATCTAAAGATATTGAATGATAGGCTTTATTTTTCTATTGGCATGGTTGACAACAACTCCTTTGTCTTTCTTTGTCATAAAAAATCAGTAAAGGAACCAAAGTCAATTACTATGAATCTTGAACTGTTGATGTATAAATTTGAATATTGTATATGCAAAGTAGCTCTTTTTTTCATTCAAAATATATTTGATTATGGAATTTTGAAAGTTTTTGAGTGTTAAAATTTCCTACATTCATTCTTAAAGCAATTCAAGAAGAAAATTTTTGCAAATTTTGTTGCTGAACTTACCAATGATTTTTGCTGAAAAGTTGAGTGTAGTTGGCTAATTAAAGAACATTTTAATTTCTATATTTTTATGGAATTTTTCTACAGAAAAACTTTTAAGGATGCCAAACGTAAAGCAGAAGAGCGAGAAAAGAAGAAGGCAGAAGTGCGTAAACGTCTTGAAGAAGCGGGATCTAAGAAGAAGTCCAAAAAAGGTTTCCTGACACCAGAAAGAAAGAAGAAACTTCGAGTATAAACTTTTTAGCTCTTCAATAAAATCTAATTACACTGTGATTTATTATGCAGCAGTAAACTGTAGTTTCTTTTCTGCTTTTAGAAGCTGCTTATGATGAAAGCAGCTGAAGACCTGAAACAGCAACAACTTCTCAAAGAGCAAGAACGGCAAAGAATTCTTGCACAGCGTACCATTCCGCTTCCCAGCATCGATGATGTTGATGACCACGGTTTGTCATCGCTGATAGATTCAATGGTGAACCGAGCCAGAGCTTGCACTTTATTCGCAGTTTATCATTAAACTTTAGACTTGAATACTATGTTTCACTTTCACATTTTAGAAAAGCTGGAAAAAATCTACAACGATCTTTTTGAACATATGGTTAAATTAGAGGAGGAAAAATATGATATTAATCAACTGGTTATGGCTAAGGACGCTGAGGTATTTTTTTTTAATTTATTGAGCTGAAATTTTTTTATTTTTGATAATTTATAATTCGCTACATTATTTTACGATTTCGTTCGTCTGAAACGCAAAATTAAGAGTTTATCTTTATGACTGTTTATTTTCACATTCACCAGTATTTTATTGAAGTTCTTCAAAGTGTTTATAAATACAGTGCTTTGTAGTTTTTCACTTTGAGCATTTTATCCTTTCTTTATAGATTAACGAGCTCACGATTGCCGTCAACGACTTAAGGGGCAAATTTGTAAAACCTACGTTGAAAAAGGTCTCCAAATATGATAACAAGTAAGATTTGTATCATGAAATGGAACATAATTAAATGCTGACTTTTAATCACATAAAAAGCATGGAATAAACGTTTATAGATTCAAGAAGATGGCTGGACAGAAGAAGGAAGACAAACAAGACTTCCGTGCCAACTTGAAGGTTGTCAAGAAGGAGAACGTTATTGAAAACCTCGTTAACAAAGCAAGTTTCTTTTATACGAGTCTTCTTTATACAGCAACAGAATAATCAAACTTATTGGCTGATCTCCTTAGTTATTCTCATTTCTTTAGCAGAAGAAGCCAGACAAGCCAGAATGGTCAAAGAAGGCTGAAAAGAAGGAAGGTGAAGGAGAAGAAAAGGCTGAAGAAAAGCCAGAGGAGAAGAAGGAAGAAGCAAAACCAGAAGAAGCTCCAGCTGAAGAGGAAGCTGCTGAAGAAGAGGAAGAAGCAGAAGGTGAACGGTTTTTTCTCTCTTCATTTCGTCCTCTTTATCAAGATAAATAGGCAGTAATAAATGGCGTGAACAATGTTTTTTACGGACTGTTTATTTGTCCTTGAATTTCATTTCTAAGCGGAAAAAAAAAGCAACAAGATTACCATGACATTTTCTCGTCTTTTTTTCAACTTGTTTCATCAGTTTTATCAGCATATCTAATCTTTATGGTACTACTGTCATCAGCAATGACCTCCACCAAAAGTTATGTAACATTGTGTAGATGGCACTGGTTAAAATGTTTACACTTACCAGTCCAATGTGTGATGTTAACACTGGTCCCTGATTTATTTCAACTTTATCAATAGTGGTAAATACTTACTGTCGTTTTTTTGATTATAGGTGAAGAAGAAGAAGAAGAGGAAGAAGAAGAGTAAAATTATTACTTGAACATATATATGCAGCAACATGAACATGAATTATTATGGAACCATATGACGACGATGAATGTTCACAAACGACGCTCATCCATTGCATTAAACTTGCCTTTTTTCCTTAAATATTTTTTTCTGAAATAATTGGTGTTCTCTTTTTCGAAAAAATAAGCAGTTTTTTATTTTTAATTTCTTATACTTTTTTTTTTCGTTTTTTTTCTATTTTTCTTTTTTCCTAATTCTTACAACCAATTTTCCACCGTTAACTCACTATATAATTTTGCTTTCTTTGTTTCCGTGAAACTTGAAGAACATTTTGAAAGCAGAAAGAAATAGGGGAGAAAATTTATGGTATAAATTGCAAAAATAAAAGATTTTTTTCTTTTTAGCACTGAAATATTTTAAGTTTGGTTGTAATGTATATGCTAATTGTGTGACCGATGAACATAGTGTCTGTGTATTTCAATCATCATCATCGTAATCACCGTAATCATTATTATTTTTGTTCTCATCATCATCATCATCATCATCATCATCATCATCATCATGATTGTTCGGAACACCATTAACACCATTCAAAGGCAACATCTAATAACTGTATAATGATGGCATTAAAAAGAAAAAAAAAGAAATGAAGAAGAAAAAAATACATAAAAAGAATTCTTTGCTCAATTTTCATGTTGCTGCTCCATTATGCTTCCTGCCGATTCATTCATTACTCCCTAAAACTGGGATATATAAAAGTTTATTAATTTATTCAGAGTTTCTCATTTGTCGCACTCATTCGTTTCACAACTGAAGGATTCAGGGCAGCAAAAAATACTGCATCGATAAGCACCCGTTTACTATCTGTATGTTATGCTTTCGTCAGCTACTGATTGTCGACAGATGACAAACGACTGAAATGAAGGGAAGCATTCTTTAGACCCATGTGTTGTTAAGCAGACTAACATTTGAAAAGTTCTGTCAATGTTAACAACCTAACAGTTTCTTTGGGCACACAAATTATCGGTATTTTCGTATCAGTTAGCCTTCTAAAAAAGCTAGTACACATGCATATTTGTGCACAGTATCAAACGATTAGTTACGATTACTTGGTCAAATTCTCTAAATTTTTTCAATAATTTACAACATAATTATTTGTGTATCTTTCGTTGATTTTCAATTAATAAGAAAAATCTTTTATTCAGTTTAATTTATGCTCTACTTATTGCTCAGAAGGCGTATTACTGCACGACAGTTAGTCATTCGATAACCAGAAAATAAGGACACCAGAAAAATTTTAAATTTTTTAATGACAGTTTAAAAATTTTATCTGTATAATATTTTCATTATTCCTTCTAAAAAGTTGTTAAAAAATTATTGAAAATTTTGAAGACAAAGAAAGATTTGTCTTATTTTTTTTTACTATAGATAAAAAATTTCTACTTCTAGTTGCGCTGTTAGCAGTCAGCTTTTGTGGTACCCAGCAATAAACATCAACAACGTTATATTAGCTTTTAGCCTATCTGACAAAAAACCACCCGAACGGAAAGCAGTTATTTGACAATCTCCTGGGATACCGCTTAGCAGAACTGCAAATTTGCAGTGATTGCAGATATCGATAAAAGACAGGTTTCTTGCAGCAAAGAAGATAAAAGAATCTGACTATAGTGCAGAAATTTTGAAACCAAATGATATCAGTTCTGAATGATTACTGCCAGAGAACTGTTTTTACTGCACGAATTTATTCCTACAGAATGACATACGAAGAAAAAGTAGCATTCTGTTTTCTTACCTTATATTTGAAAACTATCTCTTTCTACCTCTTTTTAATAAAAAATTGCAAACTAATATATTATAAACGACGAAGAAAAAGCAACAAAAAGTTGTTTGAAATCTTTTATATGAAATGGTATTTATACTGATAACACAGAAGTGTAGTTTTTGTATATAGAAATATATATGATAAAATTATGCTAACTGCAAAACTGTATTTACTAGTGATCTGAAAAAGTGAAAAAATAACTTCTTTTTTTGTTAATAACATAAATATTGACATAAGTAATGGAAAAAACAACCAATGTATACCCTAATGATATATGAAAGTGGAAAAAAAAAGGTGAAAAATAAACGAAAGCCGTTGATTATCGGAACAATTATTGTTATTATCCATTATACCGCTAAAAGTTTCTTTGTCTCCTTTTTTTCTGTTTTTTTTTTTATTTTTTCTTCTTATTCACTGATCAAATCTATGCTTTGTTTAAATAGTACCAACAGTGATTATCGGTGTTAACAATGTCAACTCTTAACGATTTAATGAAAACCACTTGTACAAAAAAAAAAAAAAAATTATACCGATACAGTATATTTACACTGTATGAGTGTATAAAATGTTTGACCGATGGATATATATATTTTCTTATCCGCATACAGCAATAATTTATGGTCGTTGGTAGTATTTCTTTCTTTTGTTTTTTCTTTTTTATTTTTAAGTTTTTTTAATGGCAATAAATAATCGTTCAAAAGACATTAAATATTGTTAAAGTTCTCCTGTATAAAAAAATAATAATAATAACAATAAAAAAACCATCAAAAAATTGGTTATCTTTTTTTAGATCGAAAAAAAATTCAAAAGAAAAAGGAAAAGATGACGATAAGACTGACAAAAAAAAAAAAGAAAGGTATCAAAAGCAAGAAAATAGTCGAGTTAAACGAGTTTCTTGAGAAACTTCTTCTTTTTTCTTTGCTTATTAAAATTGCGCATATGCATGAACAGTAGTCAACATTTATTAAATGTTTATTCAAGACGGCATATCTTTTTGGCACTGCACTATATCATCAATTTTTTTTTGATAATAACAACGATGACGGCGACGGTGGAGGCGATGACGACGATGAATAAAATAATAAAAATTATCAAAAATTTACTGATTAAAATAACTGTTACTGTTACGTAACGGAGTATTAACATGCAATATGCAGTTTTCAGGTTTCACCCCGCTTATCATTGTTAAGTATTTTAGTTTTTTTCCATTTTCTTAAGGTCAATCACATTGATCGGAACAATCCTATACGGTTGATAATATCAACTAAACAGATGACGTTGTTGCGAAGTCTGCAACATATTTGTTCAAAAGTTAATATACAAATGATCGATCGGTAAACAGCTTATCATATCAGCGATTATAAAGGCTACAATTACATTACGTCACGCGTCACAGTAGTCAGTTTAAACCGTTTAAGAATTTGAGAAAATCGAGTAGAAGGTAAGATACTGTGCAGCAATTGAAAATAACGCAAATCTAATAAATTCTTTTGATTCAAAAGCAAAAAAAGAAAAAGATCTGGATTTATCAAAATTGCATTTAACAGAGGAAATACTTATAAGTTCTGTTGTATCTTCTAGACTGTTTTTGTAATTATCAGACAGTAAAGTGTACAAAAAAAAAAAGCATTGTCGTTGAACCATCTCTTAACCAGGTTTTCAAAAACTGGTCTTACTGCAAAATTTCCTTAATTAATAGACAACGTCAAATATCAAATGCTTTGCTGATTCTGCTGAAACATTTTGAAACATTTCAGTTGATAAATATTTCATTCATATATGTTGTTACTGATGGAACAGTTTGCAAAATAAAATTGCTCTTCAATGTTGCTTAAGCAGTTTTTTTCTTACCACTGTATGAATTATTATTGAGAAATGCTGCTACTATGCTACTACAATAATCTGTTGAAAACATCACGAAAATACCAATAATTTATCATGAATACAGTTTAAAAAAAGAAGAAGAAGAATTATTCCCTATTTTCATTTGATTTGTTGACTGTTGAAGCGGAAACTATATTATGCTGTATCATGACTGGTATCTGATCTGCACTTTAATCTCGACCAAAGATTCAGTTTTAAAATAGTTATCATAAAGCTACAAATTTGAGTGTTGATTTGGCTAACGTACTGCTTAACAGCAGTACAATTCTGAAATATCTCCTATGTTCCGACAAACTAATTGATCTTTTAAGATCAGTGACTACAAATATTCGTTAATTTTTAAAATTGCTCAAACTTTTAAATTGACCAGATCACTGATAAAATATAATCAGTAAATAAATAGAACATTATAAAGAATGGAATAGATGTTATCAGCGTACAATAGTAACAGTACTGTTAGTCCATTTTCTGCTTTTTCTTTCGTTATACCTCAGAAAGTAAACAAAAAAAGAAGTAAAGAAAGAGAATTCGATAACATTAAATTATAATTAATACTTTAAACAGCATACCTTTTATTCTTTCTTCTTCTTCTTCTTCTTCTCTTCTCTCTTATCCTTTTTTATTCTACTTTTATCTTTACTTTTTTTTTTCTTTTTTTCTCTTTTTCTTGCTTTTTCTTCTTCTTCTTTCTCTACTTTTTCTTCTCTTATTAGTCTGCTCTTGTTTTCCAGTTAATAATTCCTTGTTTGTGATTAAGGAAGGAAAATTTTATATGGTTTATGCAACGTAAACAGGGGCAAACGAATGTTTTATTAAGTTTTTTTTTGTTTTAAAGAGCAGTGAAACTGTTAACCAGATTTTAATAAACGCTCCGTATAGCCTAAAATAATGGTTCAATGACAGTTGCTGATAAATTTTTAACGAACATTAAATTAACTGTTGTTCA